TTGTTTTTACTGCTGCAAGTTGTCCCCCAATTTTTCTTTGATTCTACTTATATGGTAAAATTTAGAAACAATTGTTGCAAGTTCGTGATTTGGTGGAGAATCAACAAGGAAAGTAGATTTATACATGAATTATTCCAGAAAAAGGAAGAAAACATGAAAATTTTTTTAATTTGATTATAAATATGCAGTACATGTATAATGATGTATAACTATGTATAAACTTGTATATGGAATGTATAATAATGTATATCAAAAGAATAAGAGAAAGAGAAGAAGAATATAAGTGATGTTATGAACATATATATACATTTATATATAATTATATATATTTATACATAATTATACACAATTATACAATAATGTATAAGTGTGTATAAATAGTGGTTATACAATATTTATACCAGAACACATCTTATGTTCAATATTACACCTCTATTTCAGTATCAAAATATCAAAAGAGAGTTTTTCAGAGGAAGTTAGATCTGAAAATTAAAGAGGAGAAAAGATGGAGATGGAATTGTTTTATAAAAGAAGATAAAACTGGAACATCATCTGAAGAACTTGAAAATTGTCTGAATACAACAAAAGACCTCTTTTTCATTCTCCGATGACTTCACTGACTTCATCGTCGACCTATTTACCTTGAAAATTGAAGGAAAAAAATGGAGGATGTCTGCAACTCTTCAACCTCTTTCCAGCAATTTGAGAAGAAACAAAAAGTTATTAATGGAGGATAAACGTATTTTGTCTTAAAAAAATTCACATTGCACACACAAAAAAAAAAAAAAGAGGACTCCAAATAGAAATAGCGATTTAGTCTCCTTGAGGAGATGTTTATTACAGTAATGGAAAAGGCCTTCCTGTTAGGTTGAATGAGAGAATGACTGCTGCAGCTAAAAGAGGAAGAAGCATTTGGATATAGGTTTTGGTGAAAAGTTGAAGAAAGACAAAAGAAGGATAAAGGAGGCTAGGTTAACCAATGAAATGGGCTATGCATTATTTGCAAAATGGGCTATGCCAGATAAAGTTTCAAAACATGGACTAATTTTTATTCTGAAATTGGGCCAACTGACATAAAATGTAATTCTGTCAATCATTTATTATTAAAAACCAACTTAGACAGTGTTTTTTAGGCACCATAACTTTGCGTCTTGCAACAATTTTAACCAAAGGCAGAATTGTCCGTAAATTATGTTAACATAAGAATTTCTAATAATTCAAAATGGTAAAAAATTTCCCTCTTTGGGAGAGTTGCAAAATCGTGAAGAGGAATAATACTGTTAGCACGTCAAAACCGAAAAGAATGAGTAATATTCTTTATATCCCAAACGAAAAGAATAATTATAACCTTATAAAAAAGGGTAGCAGGTGGGGACATTAGTGTTCGTAGCCATGTGCACAAATGCGGCGGTTATTAGAAAAAAGGTTTGATAGACCCAAAATAGAATAACGCTGGTAACGTCTAACCTCCACAAAGTCAAGATTCCGTCACTAAGTCTCCGTCCATCTTCACATGTTAAGCAACGCCGTCAGTTGCCAAGTGATATGTTATTCCGCATTCCGCGACGCAAAACTACAGTGACCGAACAGAAACTCAAACGGCCAGGCGGCGTGACGCCGTGACGGTAACAGAGCTATGCCGTTAATAGTTGTCTCCTCCGTATCTTAAAGCCGCGTAGAAGCGGGTCCCAGGCAGCCTTGGTTCCCCAGCAAGGCAGTAACACAAGTAAACTAATTAATTCCTCAAATCCTCATCAAAGATTATACTGTATGTATACACGCACATATACATTTAAGGTATTCCAACTATCTCAGCACATCTCCTAATAATTACTCATTCTTTACTACTATTAATTAAATCTTAATCTCAAATAATTCTAAGTTGCTTTATTTATATTCATTTTACTTCATTCAACATCTTAAAATCATAAAACTTTGGTATTACTTATGCTTCGTTTACTTATCATTTTCGTTTTCGATATAACTAGTAATCATTATAATTTACTAGTGTTAGAACTCCTGCGCGATGCGCGGATAATTTGACAGAATATTAATCTTATAAAATTATGATCTAATATATGATATTATTTTAATAAATATTAGTTATATTTTATTATTTAATATAATGTGCAGAAATATAACAAAATCTATACAAACTCAAAGGATACACATCATAAAGTAACGAATAAATTGTTTGTTCCTTATTTATGCTTATTGTCAAATTAGCAAGTAGATAATACTAAACATTTACTAATATAATATTTTATTAACTTGTCAATTACTTAATATTTTGAAACTACTTATCTTTAATAAAACATAGATATACATTTTCTTACTCTTGAAATAAAATTATTTTTTAAACTTATGTTATGCTGTTCAAAATTCTTAAATTATCTATATTTATTGATAATTCTTTTGAGTGTATTAATTTATCTTTTATTTTTTAATCTAATTAAAATATAAATATCAAAAAATTATCTTTATCCCCCTCTTTTCATACATTCTTTTCTACTGTAATATTTGATTAGTTTTCTCATTTTGTAGTTTACTGAAATTTAAATGATGTAATATCTTTTTACTAAATTATAATTTTGAATTCATCAAAAGTATAAAGATATAAGTATTTTATTATTTTTATAAAAAACTACCAATATTTTAATAATTATTAATTTTTGTTATATATATAATATGTTTATCTTATATATAATATTATAATAGTATCTTTATATTTTTCATTATGAAATTATGAGTTTTACTTATTAATTAAATTTTCTAAATGATAAATTTAATTAGTATATACATTTTACGTGATTTATAATTGTTTGTTTATTATGATTTTAGTTATGTGTATATGTATGGCTTTTCTCATCATAATTCTAATTATAAGTGTTATATTTTTATATTTTCCCACAAATTTATATATATATATATATATATATATATATATATATATATATATTTTGTTCCTTTCTTATCTAATTGCATTATCAATTAATTATTTTTTAAATTGTCATATGAATTATTAATAAATTACTAGTTTAATATAATACAATGAATATTATTTTATATTACTCTTGAAATTGAACTTGGCTTTATCATGTATGACTTTCTCATAGTTATTTCAATATTTAAATTTATCAATAATATTTTCGAGTATTTTCTATTTACTTAATTTTATCAAATAAATTTAATGTGAGGTTAGAATCACATTATATTCTATTATCCTCATACATTAATTTTTGTTCTACAATATTTTAATATTTTTTCATTATGTTTATCTATAATATGAATACTATTGTATTATTTTTCTAAATGGATGGTGTTGAATTAGTTCAAAGGTTAAACAAAGAAGTTCTTTTAATATATGTCACGAGCAATAGACTTTTATTCTATTTCTCAAAATTATTTTATTTTTGAAATTATCAATAATAATTTTGAGTATTTTTTTGATAGTTTATTCTATTTCTTAAGTTAATTTACAGTATAATTAGACTCACACTATCTCTATTTTCCTCTCTTTATATATTATTGTGCATTTTATGATATTGTAGTTTGATTTTTTGATGTCGTATTTTACTATAACTCAAAAAGTGATATAGTTTATTCTAAATTTTAAGGACTAATACTTCAAGTAGCTGCATGATTAGTAGATCTAATTCAGCTGCTCCTTAAATTTTCTATCAAGCTCTAACTTTTCTCTATCACATTCACACGACCATCTCCTCTAATTTTCTATCCATTTCTTTACTATTTCAATGTACCAATTGTTTGAACCTTAATCCCCTCTTAACCGTATATAATTATTTTCTCTCTCTCTCTCCTATCCATTCAATTTGAATTTTTAGTTTTTTATTTAAAAAAAATAATTTAAAAACTTTAACTTGAAAGTATTCCATAATTTGAATGGGTAGTTTTTTTTAATATTTATTTTCTTTTTATTAAATATAATTATAAGATATTTATATTTATTAATTCAAATAGTGTAACTATTTAATTAAAATTTAACATTTAAAAGTTTTTTAGTTAGAAAGGTAGTTTATTTTGTCTTAACAATGTCACTTGACTTTTTGTAGCCACTTAACTTAAGGAGATTGTTTTTCGTCTACTTTTAATTATAGATATATATTAGGAAGCACTAGCCATTCAATTTGAATTTTTATTTTATTTATTTATTTTTATTTTAAAATAATTTTAAAACTTCAGCTTGAAAGTACTCCAAAATTTGAATGTGTAGTTTTTTAATATTATTTTTGTTTTTTATTATAGATAATTATAGGATATTTATATTTATTTATTCAAATAGAGTAACCAATTAATTCAAAATTTAAAATTTAAAATATTTTTTATTTAGAAAGGTAATTATTTTGTCTTAACAATGACACTTGGCTTTTTGTAGTTATGCCACTTGGCTTAATGAGATTGTTTTTTCGGCTACTTTTAAACATAGATAGATAAGTATCTCAAATTTAGCTATTACTTCAATTTACCAACAAAAACAAAGTAGCTATACCTTACACTTGATACAATCATACAACATAGAATTAACTAATACCTAAATTGGCTAATACCTAAATCTCTGCGATGTATAGCTAATAAGCCCTACAAATCTTGCATTTATCCGTACAACATATCTAGAATAAAAGCATTATCATTTAATTGTAACAACACTTCAAAGTAAATTCCAACTAATTGTTATCTCAATATGGATTTTTGTTTCTATTGTTTTAAAGTATTATGTTTTTACCTAAAAGAATATTAATATTAAGTTTATCCCGTTTCTTTTATCACCTTTTAATCATTAAAATCACACCAATGTTACACCTCGTTTTCTTTTTATCCCTTTCAATCATTATATCTACTATTGCATTATAAGAAATAAAATATAAAAATTCCAAGCAAAGCGGAGAGAAATTATTAACGACCACTTACAGAAGTTTCATAGCATTTTCTGCTATAATATTCTACATTTTACTAAAGATACTGAGTATCAAAACCAAACCACAATGTCCCTTGAAAAACAGCTGTTGCAACTGGGGGTGTAATATGCAGGTCTTCTGTGGGTCCCTCATTTTTCCCTTTGCTATATCTCTGTAAAAATACAGCCTAATCAACACTTCAACAGCCTGTAAAGAGCTGTTGAACTTGCACTAAAAAAGCTCTACTTCATTGTGTTTTCATGGTGGCATTTCAGGTATATTATTCTTTTTTTTTTGCTTCATACCCATTTCAAATCTTCAAATTTGTTAAGATAAGGGTAGTACCAAAAGCTTAAGTCTTTTTGTTCTTACATTGCTCCAGATAGATCTATGATTCTTGAATCATTGTGAGATTGAGGGCTTTTTGGGAAGTTCAAGTCCTAATATTAATGGTTTGCAATATCAGTACTTAAATTCTTTTGGGAGAATTCTGGTGTCTACCAGTTGCTTGTTGAAATGGTGATTTTTGTTCTAGTTGTTGTACTGTCCAGTTTTTTTATTCAAGAATCCAATGCTGCATTTACTCCTGCTGATAACTATTTGCTTGCTTGTGGATCTTCCAAAAATGTAACCTTTCTTGGCCAGATTTTTGTTCCTGATACAACCCATTCTTCAGTTGCTTTAGAAAGTCCAGAAAATTCTATTGCTTCTACATCCAATTCCACTGCCCCATTTTCAATTTACCAGTCTGTTAGAATTTTCCACACTACAACATCTTACAAGTTTGATATTCATCAACAAGGGCGACACTGGGTCCGCCTTTATTTCTATCCTATTCCTGGCCATAACTTAACATCTGCCTCAATAACAGTGGTCACAGAAAACTTTGTACTGTTGAACAATTTCAGTTTCAATAAGTATAAAGGTAAATACCTTTTTAAGGAATATGCAATCAATGTCACTTCAGATAGCTTGACTATTGCTTTAATCCCTTCGAACAACTCAGTTGCGTTTATTAATGCGATTGAAGTTGTATCAGTACCTGATGAGTTGATTCCTGAACAAGCAGTGGCTGTTTCTCCAACAGCCCCTTTCAATGGTCTTTCTGAACTAGCCCTTGAGACTGTTTATCGGCTAAACATGGGCGGTCCTTTGGTTACTGCTCAGAATGATACCTTAGGGAGAACTTGGGAGAATGACGTGAAGTACCTGCACGTCAACAGCTCTGCGGTCGATGCTTCAGTTAATCCTTCAAGCATAAAATATCCGGATACCATCCGTCCTGAAATAGCACCAAATTGGGTTTATGCTACTGCTGAAACCATGGGAGATGCTAATACTGCCAATGGGAATTTCAATATTACATGGGAGTTCCCAGTTGATCCGAGCTTCATGTATTTCATCCGTGTACATTTTTGTGATATCGTGAGCAAATCCATGAATACTCTACTTTTTAACCTGTATATAAATGATGACATTGCTTTACTGGACCTAGACTTGTCAAATTCAGCTGGTAACTTGGAGGTGCCGTATTACAAGGACTTTGTCTCCAACTCCACAACGAATTCAGGTGTTCTGACAGTCAGTGTTGGTCCAGACACAGGAGCGGATTGGATCAATGCGATTATGAACGGATTGGAAATCATGAAGATAAGCAACGCAGCTAGAAGCTTGAGTGGGGTTTCGTCTGTCGAGACTCTACTTGTGATGCATCATCACAAAAAGAACAAGAAAGGTGTTATAATCGGGTCTGCTGTGGGAGCATCAGCTGCATTAGCAATTATTGGGTTGTGTTTTTGCTGCTTGGTAGCCCGCAGATCAAAGACCTCTCAACAGGGGCAGGGGCATCCATGGCTTCCTCTTCCACTGTACGGAAACTCTTTAACTTTGACAAAGATGTCTACAACTTCTCAAAAGAGTGGAACAGCAAGCTGTATCTCCTTAGTTTCAGCCAATCTTGGGCGATTCTTTAGTTTCCAAGAAATAATGGATGCTACTAATAAATTTGATGAAAGCTTGCTTCTTGGGGTTGGTGGTTTTGGTAGAGTCTACAAGGGAACACTAGAAGATGGGACAAGGCTTGCTGTCAAAAGAGGAAACCCGAGATCTGAACAAGGTCTCGCTGAATTTCGAACAGAGATTGAAATGTTGTCCAAACTTCGCCACCGCCATCTTGTGTCTTTGATCGGCTATTGTGATGAAAGATCAGAAATGATATTGGTTTATGAATACATGGCGAATGGACCTCTCCGAAGTCATCTTTATGGAACGGATCTTCCACCTCTCTCATGGAAGCAGCGTCTTGAGATTTGTATAGGTGCTGCAAGGGGGCTGCATTACCTCCACACTGGTGCATCCCAAAGTATCATTCACCGTGATGTGAAAACTACAAACATACTCTTGGATGAGAATTTTGTAGCCAAAGTTGCTGATTTTGGTCTTTCTAAAACTGGACCGGCTCTTGATCAGACCCACGTCAGTACTGCTGTTAAAGGTAGCTTTGGATACCTGGATCCTGAGTACTTTAGAAGACAGCAGCTTACAGAGAAATCAGATGTTTATTCATTTGGTGTTGTCCTAATGGAAGTGCTGTGCACCAGACCTGCACTGAATCCAGTCCTACCACGGGAACAAGTCAATATAGCGGAATGGGCCATGACTTGGCAAAAGAAAGGCATGTTGGATCAGATAATGGACCCAAATCTTGCAGGGAAGGTGACTTCAGCCTCCCTTAAGAAGTTTGGGGAGACGGCGGAGAAGTGTTTGGCTGACCATGGAGTTGATAGACCTTCAATGGGAGATGTTCTGTGGAATCTGGAATATGCTCTTCAGCTTGAGGAAGCCTCATCAGCTCTGGCGGAGCCCTATGATAACAGTACAAACCATATACCCGGCATACCTTTGACACCACTTGAGCCATTCGACAATAGTGTGAGTATGATTGAAGGGATTAACTCCGGAACAGATGATGATGCAGAGGATGCTGCCACTAGTGCTGTTTTCTCTCAGCTGGTAAACCCACGGGGAAGGTAAAAAGAAACACTCTCTGGTGTATGTGTTCAGCCATTTGACATCCCAAAGTTTTTATTTTATGGCTTCAACAGAGAGTTAATGTCATTTAAAAATCTTTTCATTCATAGTATTTGAGTCAATTTTTCTGAATAAAAATGCTCGAGTATGTACTGTAAATGATTTGTGGAGCTGGGCATCCATTGAAATTTGTCTTTGTAATACTAAGAGTTGTAACCTTGTTTGAACAATTACATAGGTGATACAGCTGCTTTTTTCTTTCTTTTTCTCATAGATATCATGACTATAAATTGTCAAAGCTTTGTAATCAGTGACTCAGAGAGTAACAATATTAAGCAATTGCTGCAGCACTTTAGCTGAATTATCTTCTGATAGTGGCTGAGTTTGTCAAGCTTTTACTGCTGCCTTTGTTTCCATAAAGACAACAACAATGCTCTCTTAAATTGATCGTTGTTATGAGATAAACTCCACGTTGGGGAATCGGCTTTGACTGAGCTTTACCAATTTGATTATGAAACACTTCAGTTGAACACAGATTATCTTTCTGTTTTGCATACACTAATCCTCTTTAGAAGCTGTGCTGCGGGCTTCTCAACATCTTAAACATCTGGTAGTTATTAATATGTGGGAAATCTGATTCATCTGTCGTTGGATCTTTTATATCATATGCTTCAATAATTTCCTTTGATGCAGTATTGGGCTAATGGTAACCATTTCTTACGCTGAAGTTCTTAGCCGCTCTTTTAATGTATCCAATTCTAGCATTTTTTCGTAGGTTACACTTGAAAAGTTTTTTTGAAGTCTTGTATACATATGCAATTTGTAATTCTGAACTAGGGCATATCAGTAGTCATGTATCCTTGAGGGAAAAAACTTGATTATATAATAAACATACAAAAAGCCCAAATAAAACTAGAAATCCATGCTTTGACATAGATTGTTGGAACAAAAAAGCTTTTGATTTTCTGCAGGTGACAATTTTTTCAATTGAAACAAAAGAAACAAAATCCCAATAGAGTCCTCATTTTCTGCAAACTATTCCATGGCCGCTGCTTGATCCCCCAGTACAGTCTAAAGCCCCAAAATCCATGACTAGTGGGTCTGATTCTTCCAAAACTCCAGCTGGAGAGAAGATACAGGATCTACAGTTGGGAGACAAAAGGGTTGGAGTTCTGTACTTGTCTTCACCTCCCACTACAGGCATTGCAACACCTAGTTTTGCTGGATTCTTGAAGTCTGGCTGGTAAGTTCGGCCAAGAACACCTTCAACCTTCGTCGAGAGTCCATAGAATCTGAACTGCACGTCCAGGTGAGCGAAGCAGTCATCAGAAGGTAACTGATAGTTGTGGATCCTGTCATCTTCTTTTGTAATAGGTACTACATTAACTGAAATTTCTGCAACTTCTGAAAGTGTGATCAAAGCACCGTTCTTGCTTGAAGTTCTTTCTACCTTAATGCTGCTGCTTTCAGAGGATTCCCATGTAGATGGATAGCCTTCTGGTATGCCTAACTCCTTTCCGTCGTAATAGAATTTCAGGTGATCAACTTCGTCGTCCCAAGTCTCTGCCTTGGTAGCCTCAACAGAGAAAGCATGCGTGTCAAAGAGGATTCCAAGAGCTTGAATCCATGTGTAGTCTCGGGGTCTACCAGCAGGTCGAAGGCCAATGAAGCGAGCATTAATCTGGAGATTAAGGTCTGAAACTAAGCTGAAATGCTCATTGCTCTTGCCATGGAAGTAAAAGACAATTCCATCTCCACCAATGAAGCGAGGATCCAAGCATGCTGCTCCGGGGTGATTGCAATTCGCCTTCCTATCTGTAAGTATCAAGCATGTGAATAACATAAAAAGAGAAATAGGATCAAGGATTAAGAACATATATATAGAGAGAAACTCTTACTTCTGCACTCAGCCTTGCACATGGGGGAATTACAGTTGAGATAGCAAACTTTAGCGTTTGGTTGACTTGGATATGCTGTTGGGCATTCTGGTGGGCAGTAAATTCGTTTCAGAAAGCATTTGCTTTTCCTGTTGTTGCAGGTTATAAGTTCTCCTCCTTCGATCTCTGTTAGACCAGCTAGGAAGAGTAGTATCACAATGGCGAAAAACCACTTGTTTATTAGGTTACTCATTTTCTCCTTTCAAGCTGTATGAAGCTCAAGATGGTGAAGTTTGTCTTCCCCCTTGGCCTCTTATAGAGTAGGCCAAGAACTTTTTCTTTATCAAGTCATATTTTATTTTCTGCAATTTGCCAGTAAAATACTCATTCTAGCTCGTTGGTTCATTCTAACTAGATCTTGAAGAAGAAACTTGCAGTTTAAGATGGATCGCTGTAATGCTTTGCGTAGTTTATAATCGATAGTCAATGCTTTGGGACTTGCAACAGAGTATAATAAAAAGAGTTGACAATTTGGGGCCTTGTTTCAAGGTATATACATGTGAAAGAAGTTTACTAGCTGCTGTGTGGTGGAACATTGAGGTCTAAGAACTAAGAACATTGACATGTTCTGAAGGAACCTGGATTCTTGCCTATGTTTCCTCCGTGAACAGAGATCTTCAGACATCACCTACATCGTCAATTGTTCATAAAGTTGCCTTAGCCTAAAGATACCGTGTCTGTAACCGCATTTACTCTCTCAACCAATTGGTTTGATACGCGGGCGGATCTAGGTGGATTTTGCGCGTTCAACTAAACACATTGCTTTTGCCTCTGAACTATGTATACGCACCTGAAATTTTTTAAAATGTATGCATATAACAAAATCATAATCATTAAAAGTTGCTGACTCTAGATCCTGATTTTTTTTTTGTTGATACATAGTGTCTACTCTTTATTCAATCTCATATCAAAACTCATTCTCTTTTTTGAATTAGGGGTGGGCGGCCATAATACTAACCGAACAGAAAAAACTGACCAAACCGAAAGTTCTGTTTTTGATTTTTCGGTTTATTCGGTCGGTGTGTGGTTTATATTTTGAAAGATTGGTGTTCGATTTGGTTATGATGGTGCGATTTTCGGTTAAACCGCAAAACCGAAGTTTTTCACCATAGATTGCATTTACTGTGCTTCGCTCAATTTCTCTATAGGTTGCTGAATGCTGACACTTCAACTTCAACCATCTTTGCGTTAGTAATTAATGTGATGTTTATATTCATCTAATACGTAGCCATGTTTCACTCAAGTAACTTAAACACTTGATCTATAGGTTGCTGGCACTTCAAGGATGTATTATGTCCAAGGCTGTTTTATTTAACTCTCTTATTTAATTGTTAATTGTGGTTAGACCTTGTCAACTTGTTCACAAAATTTTAATAATAAAATTAGATGATTCATTTACTTTAAAACGCGTAATTAGGTGTGCTATATATCAGTTAAATGGATTTCTTCTTTATCAATGCATATAACCTAACTAGACAATAACTTCTTTTTTAAAGGAAAAAACACCAAGCTCCAGTGTGAAGCTCAAGGAGGAAGTTTATCGATATTCATTACCCAAACTAGATGTGCAAGAACAGAATTTATAGGGGTAATACCTTGAAAAAGAGTTATATTTGAAGATCTATTTTCAGTAGACGGAAGCCCAAATATGACAGGTCTAAACTGACCGAATCGAACCGAACATCGACCGAACCGATCTTTGAGAAACCAATAAAATCGAATTAATTTTGGTTCGGTTTTTGGTTTACCTAAGGGCATTTTCAACATTTATTCCCATTTTGGAGACAAGTTACTCCAACCATTCNTATTATTATCTTTTATTTCAATTTTATTTTTTAATTTTCATTAAATAAATTCCATCTTTTATTTTTATTAATTTGTAATTTCCATTAAAATAATTCCATAAAATTTTAAATAATAAATTTGTAAGCAATTATTACAGATTAACTAATAATTCAAATAAAAGTGAAATCATTGCAATACAAGATTAATTAAATACATATTACATAATGATAAAGTTCATTTGAAATACTAAATAAATATTCAACTTCAACCTCTAGTATTCTCCCATAAGTGGGGTGAAGAAAGCAAAAATGAAGAGAAAAATCGACGATGGTTATATGAAGATAGTCGAATCACAAAATAATCGAATTGTTGAGGCGATGAATAGTGCAACTGAGTGACAAAAAGAAATAAATGACATTGAAAGAGAAAAAATAAGACTAAAAGAATTGAAATATGATCGTAAAATTATGTCCATGGATGTGGATTCTGTTTTGGATCCAGTTTGTCGTGAATATTTGCGGCAAGAACAATAACAAATAATATATAAAAGAAGTCAACAACCACAACAATCATCTGCCCCATTCACTCAGTACTATAATAATTTTGGTGTACCTGAAAACGACATGTATCGCTACTAAATTATTATGTTATTTAACGTAGTTTCAATTTTAATGTATTTTAATTTAATGTATTTTCAATTTTGATGTATTTCTAATTTTAATGTATTTTCAATTTTAGTGTATTTTCACTTTTAATGTATTTCAATTTTAGCAACATCAAATATTTTATATTTGCACCTTTCATTTTTGTGATGGTTATATCTTTTTCATACAATTATAACTCAAAAATAAAATAAAATAACAATTTTACATAAAAAAAATAGATGCACGATAATTAATTTTCCAAAATTATACGTCAAAGTTAGGATGAAAAATTAATTAGGTAAATATATTATATAAACATAATTAAGTATATATAAAAAGATAAATTAAAAGATTAAATAATAAAAATAAAAATATTTTAATGGGGAATAGAAATGGGGAGATGAATAATGTGTCCCAAATCTGGGGAGACGCTATTCACTCCCCATTTTGGGGACAAAAATGGGGGAGGGTTGGAGTGAAATTTTCACATTTTGGGGACAAGGTTGGAGTTGCTCTAATACAAAATCGAAAACCGGACAAATCAAACCAAACTTTTTGAAAACCGAACTGAACCGACCGACACCCACCCCTAGTTTGAATTGATGATATAGTAACTTGTAGCCCAAGATTATACTTATGTTAATAACAATCGTAAAAATTGCACGGGGTGCCATATTTGGTCGCCCCCATTTAACCTATACCCATTTTTTAAAAAAGTTTTAACTTGTACCCACTTTTTAAATAACTTCAGCCCCCTTTCTCCTCCTCCTTCTCCACGCAAGAGATGCATTGTGCATCCTTCGGTTCAGCGGCGTTTCTTTCGACGTTATCGTCTCAGATGTCCACATGCCTGATATGAATGGCTTTCAGTTACTGTACAAAGGTGTTTGGCATTTGGGTTTCGAAGTTATATTTATTTCCAACTTTGGAATAGCAGCGTAGCTTTTGCTTTTTGGCATATGTGGACTTCTAAAATAGGGAAGTAGAAGTCATTGCAGGCAGCATGTGAATTGGATTACCCAAAAGAAAAACATATTTGTGAATACTTTCAACGTTCGAATCATATGGAAAGTCAGTTAAAACTTTAACTCTAAGAAGGCTGAAGTTTGCCAGTTACAAACAAAAACTTCAGCTCTAGAGCTGAAGTTTGCCAGTTACAAACAAAAACTTCAGCTTTAGAGCTGAATTTTGACAGTTACAAACAAAAACTTCAGCTCTAGAGCTGAAGTTCCCCAGTTACAAAAATAAAAACTTCAGCTCTAGAGCTGAAGTTCGCCAGTTACAAAACAAAAACTTCAGCACACTTGGTTCAACACACTTGCTACTTCAGTCCCGTATACTAGAATGCTGAAGTTTTGCGTGATTGCCTTTGCTACTTCAGCCCCGTATGCTGAAGTTACGCGAAAAAGTTGGTACGCTTGCAATTTTTTTTGCAAAGGGGGCACAAGTTAAAACGTGACCCAAAAAGCGGGTATAGATGCAAATGCCCCATAATAATCTTAGCTTTAGTACAAGCAAAGGCCTAAAACTAAATCCAGTATGTCTGATTGGCAAATTAATCAGTAGAAGGAACGCATGGAAGTATTAGAAGTGTGCTAAATAGTAATTCTTGGAAATATTCCAATTTTGGAAGCTTTAGAGCTATTGGACAAAGGGCACGGTATCTTTTGTGCTATATCGAAAGTGATTAGAAACGAAGATGCCTATGTCACCTTCCTCTCCTACTAAATTTCATATTATCCCATCCAATTACACTTCCAATATGTGCATTTAGCTCTAGGAATACAAGAGAAACCAGCAGATTAAAAATTAAAATATTTTGAACAATATTATGCCATGGAGAAGGTATTGAAAACAAAATCAAATGTTAAAGTAGGAATTAAGGCCATATGGAAGGTTCTTGCGATGGATTTAAGCTCTGTGATGCCCAAAATTATACTCCACTAGTAAAAGATTTAGAAAGGATTCAGGGAGATGGTAGCTAGCCCTGGTAGTGTCTATCTCTTCAATTTTGACTCTGGTCAGTTTTACTTATTCTGCTTTCCTTCCCCTTCCCCACATCCCACACCTCTCTACAAGTAATTTGGCTTCTTCTTCCTTTTTTTTTTAAACAAATTTTTTGATGTATCAGTAGGTATATCCTATATCAACCTGCACCAGTCTACACTACAGGGGTGAGCAAATATGTTAAAAACAGGATAAACTCGAACTAAAATCACATGAAAATAAGTTGTTTCAAAAGAATTAAATTCTCTTAGAATCCATATATAAATAGTAAAAAATGGTGGTACAATATACTAATGAACGTGGGAATTATGTTTTAATCATGTTAGTATGTTTATTTTATGTCTGTAAAGATATAAAATATAGTTGAGACATTTTGTACATGTGTTATTTAATGTGTACTCTTCTAGATACATCCATTAGTTAGTTAGTTAGCACACATTAATGACTTTGTATATATTAGTTATACTCTGTATATTGTGTAAATAACTGAAGGAATACAATTTACATTTTCTCTCTCTCTCTCTATGTTCTATCCTTTCTTACTCTGTATCTTCTCTCTTCTTATCACCGACCTTGCCTCCATTTCCATGGCAGATCTAGGTTAGTTTTAACATGGTATCAGAGCAGGTCAAGTACGATCTGGAATCTGAAGCTTCAAGTTATTCTCAATTTCTCCAAATCAAGTCTCCTCTTTTTCGATTTTCATCCTAACCCTAATTTTCTGACCAATGACGAATTCAGCTACGATGACGAGTGATTCTCCCCAAATTAGAATTGGAACTTCACGCAAGCACTTAATTGCTTGATTGCAATGACTCGTTGTTTTTTCATCCCTCAGACACGCCGGGGATTGCGTTGGTTCCTCAATTAATGGTCGGAACGAAAAATTACTCGAAATGGAGCCATAATGTCACTTCTAGTGAAGAACAGAATAGGTTTCATCGACGGAACTTA